GGGGGTCGAGAAGGTTGTGAGGAGGGGGAGGGAGATTGGGGGGGAGGCGGTGGAGGCGGTGGAGGCGGTGGGGAGAGGGCGTGGGTGGGAGCGGGAGGAGAGGGGGTAGGTGGGAGTGGTTAGGTGGTGTGATGGATGGAGGATGTATAGGGGGATTGATTTCTACCTAGGATTCCAGCGATGGCGCATTGGTGTTGGTTTGGATTGGATTGTATACACATCTTCCCATCCTCTTCTGTATTATCGAGTAGCTATATGTATCATAGGATCTAATTTATCGACAGGTCCTTTACTCCGTATCACGACGTGATATGGACATGTACAGTGTCGTATGCATCTATTGTTCTCTACTGACAACCTTCCCCATTACCGCAGGCATCTTTACTTTCCCCTCCAAAAACCGGCCTAGATCCGAAGCCTACATACACGAGGTGATGAAGAAAGGCTGACATGCATATAATATAGACAGAATTCATCTTCCCCACATATTTACAAGCCACTTGCGGTGACTCTCTCTCTCTGATTCCCCACTAGAGACTTTACACATCATACCAAAACATCCTCTTTCCCCTTTCTCCAGCCAATAATCTGCAAAGAACAGCTACCGTAATCCTACAAACCGGCATCGATGAGGAATCTACATGAGCAGCACATGCCTAGGTAGATACATCTACCCCCCACCACCGTCCCTCTTGCTCCCTTAACCCGACCGTGTGTTTCTCCAAAAATGAGTAAAATCATAGAAGATTATCTCTAGCTAAAAAAAGGCCATCAGAAAGAAAAACTAAAAACTAAATCCCCGATTCTGTCTTAGATGCATGATGCCCACTGCTGATGTCTAATGGCGATGATGCAATTTTTGCGAAACGGGGCATTTCTCCTGCGATAACGGAGCGTCCTGGGATATGAGTGGACGGGAATGGATGTTTCAATAGGAAATCTGCAGAATAGATGGTGGGGAGGTTATGCAGATTCTATCCCTATCTGCTATCTGATGCTGAGAGATTCCACGTCCATGCTGCTGCCTCTCTCCAGGAAGCTGTGGAGGAGATATGACGTCAAGATGTGCGTGTATGGAGTGATAAATTGGGTCGCGGTAAAATGGGACAGCAACGAGGGCCCTTTTTTGGGGGTCCAGGAGAACTATCCGTTATCCGAGATCCAGGTCTGTTCAAGTGCAGAAGCCGGGAATTGGGAGGTGAATGTATGCACGTGTAACTACTGTATATCCATATCTGGATAGACAGAAGACAGGAGAGGATAGAAGAAGGGGAAACAACACAGCAAAAGCGCCTCCAAACAACCCAACCAATGGCTATCTATAAGGGTAATATTATCCATTTCAGGTATTATTCGTCGACCCACCAGCCGTCGAAGCAGCAGAAGAACCACCATCACTGCCCCTACCGTTTCTCGTTCCCTCTCCCGAAATCCCCGAATCCTCACTCTCATCCCAAATCTCTTTACTCTCCCGCTCCACAACCCTCATAGTCATCGCCACCTCCTCAAGCTTAGCCACAACATCCAAAACACCCCCGTTAACCCTGTCAAAGTACCGATCGTTAGCCTCCCGCCGCTTGCGCGCTAGTAAGATGTCCCGCTCCGTATTCTCACCCAGCAGAGGGGTTTCCTGCGGCCCTTGATCGGCGAGAGTCGATGTAGAAGCAGTACCAGATGCATTGGCGGTGGCGGTGGCAGCAGCAACCGCAGATATTGCAGTCGCGGTTGCGTTCCCAGTCGCAGTTGCGGTGCCAGAGACGGTGTTGGTAACAGTGGCGGTCGTGGTTCCACCAGCACCAGCAGCAGCAGTTGTAGCGTCCTTACTCGTATCCTCCATATTATTACTATTATTATTATTACTATTATTACCAGCATTATTACCACCACCGCTAGCATGCCCCTCACCTCGCATACCAATACCCACACCAACACCCGCATCCAAATCCCCATCCCTATCCGCATCCGTTCCACTACCAACAACTTCATCAACCTCACTCCTCGCCCACGCCTGCGCCAGCGAGAGCTGTTTACTCCTCAACTCCTCCAGCGCTCTGGCATGCTCTGTACCAAAAACATGGTCCCCATTCATCGCGCTGAGCTCCACTTCCGCAAGCGTGTTTTGCATTTCTTGCCAGAGGGCATCTGCGCTTGCAATCCTGGCGTGGGCACCGGTCCCATCGAGTTTTCCGTAACCTGAACCATGTCTATGTCCATCGGCATGCGCCAGCGCCGGTCGAGGGCCAGGGCCAGGGTTTGGTCCCGGTTCCTGTCCTTGTCCCGCTGCCGTTGCCGGGTGTTGGGATGACCGCATGAAGGGCGATGGTGAGACCGGGGGTACTGCTTTAGTGGTTGTTGCAGTTTTAGTTGGAGAGATAGCAGCGAAGTCAGGAGGGGCCAGGTTACGTGCTGACCATTTTGACCATTTGCGGGGCAGGCTGGGGAGGTGGGTGGTGGCAGCAGAGGGTGCCATGGCGGTTTTAGCCGTGGTAGCAGTAGAAGTAGTAGTAGTAGTAGTAGTAGTAGTAGTAGTAGTAGTAGTAGCGTGTAGGCTGGAGGCTGGGAGGAATAAGGGAGGGGCAAGTCGGTGTTGAGACTGAGATTGGGGAGAAGGTTTTGTTGGTGGTTGTGGTGTTCGTTGTCCGGACTTGGGTGTCGTCGTTGTCGCCATGGCTGACACCTGGGCAATCTTACGCTGTCCTATTTTCCTCTGAGGGGTTTTTTTCTTTGTTTGTTTATTTTGATTTGGTATGGTGCTATGTGTATTTGGAGCTGAGTGGTTGGTTGGCTGGCTTGGATGGAAGATCTAACGCGAGGGGAAATGGTGGTATGCATATCAAGGGCCCGCCGGGTGGGGGGAGCAGAGGAAGGACGACGTAATACTGAGTATGCGTTATCAGGGGGTGTGAGTGGTTAGTGCAGAGAGCCCTTGTCTTCCAAGGTTAGCCAGATTTTGCCCTTGTCATCACCAACACTATCCTCCTCAGTGCCTGCTTGTTCGCATCTTACATTATCCCAATATCCCAATCGCAGAGGCAGTTGCTGGTGATGTCGTCTGTTGTTGTCCGTAAAGCGCCGTTGGACAGTAGCTTGGTTGGAACCCTGCTTAGTCAGGGCTGACGTCAAGGACCCTGGAGGTTAGGGCATGAGGAACAACAATGCCCCGAGCTCCGGTAATTTATTCGCTTAGCAGGCAGTACGCGTACTGTAACGCACACCAAACCAATATCAAGATGCGGGCCGCAAACCTAGAAATTGGTGTGTGTAAGGTTGTTTTCGCAGCCATACACACCATACAACCATCCCACGCTGAGCTCGCTGAAGGGAACGATCTACCAACAGCGACAACTTTCTACCCATCCTCAACTTCGACATCGACATCGACATCGACATCGACAGCGACAGCGACAATCCCCCCCCTCCTCACTCCTTCCACCTAGCCCCCCACCCCCCCCACAGTCGTTGCAGCTGCACTCCTGGAAACAATATTGCTGCGATATCGGTATGTACATTTAACTATTGATTGTTCCAGGGGCTCAGCACATATCCACAATCCTCCTCATCTCCGTTCCATCCCCCTCACGTCAAAACAGGTTAAGAAGATGACATCCCTTGATCCCTTGCAAAATGAAACCCCTCTCTCACCTGCCTATAAATACATTCATAAACTTCCCCTCAACCAAGACCGTAAAAGAAAATAGAAGAAAGAAAAACGAGACCAAAACTAACTGCACCTCCACTCACTGCAACCAAAACAGACGACGCACTACATAAAACTCTTCACACACCTCCGCCAACATGGGAAAGGGAAAGCCTCGTGGACTCAACGCTGCCCGCAAGCTCCGCAACCATCGCCGTGAGGGCAAATGGGCTGATCTTACCTACAAGAAGCGCCTGCTCGGAACTGCCTTTAAGTCTTCCCCTTTTGGTGGCTCCTCTCATGCCAAGGGCATTGTCCTTGAGAAGGTTGGTGTTGAGGCCAAGCAACCCAACTCTGCTATCCGCAAGTGTGTCAAGGTTCAGCTCATCAAAAACGGGAAGAAGGTAACTGCTTTCGGTGCGTATCATGCTGCTGCTGCTGCTGTTGTTTTGTGTTTTGTGTTTTGAGTTTTTCTCCTTCATATTTTTATTCTTTTTCTTTTCTTTTTTGTTTTTTTGCCTATCTTTCATCAATGGGAATATGTGATAAGTGAAGTTTCTAGCTTTACCATGTGTTACGGATATATGAGTCCGTTTCACTTGGAAACAAGCTAGAGACAGAGAGAAAGAGATAATGATATAAGGGTTCATTGGCAAGATACGGACATGAATTTCCTACGGATTGCCTTACTTTCTTTAATGGCTTGAACGATGATGAAATCCAATTCGTTTACACCATGCGTATACTGATTCAATCGGTCTTTCTACTACAGTTCCCAATGATGGTTGTCTAAACTTCGTCGACGAGAATGACGAGGTCCTCCTCGCTGGTTTCGGTCGCAAGGGCAAGGCTAAGGGTGATATTCCGGGTGTTCGATTCAAAGTCGTTAAAGTATCTGGTGTTGGTTTATCTGCTCTCTGGAAGGAGAAGAAGGAGAAGCCAAGATCATAAATCAAAAATACTCCAAAAAAAAGTTGTTTCTTTCGCTCTTTTGTCGGAGTGGGAGTTGTCCCATGTATGTCGGGGAGTTAGGGGAAAAGAGGGATGAGATGTGAGCAAAGCAGGGGATGGCGGTGTTTGTTCATTGCAAACATATTGAATTTTTTATTCTTTTTATTTTTTTTTACTTTCTAATATTCCCGTCACTGGCCACCTATAAATGCCCCCGAAACAATCGATTTAAAATCGCACTTTTACCTTTCGTTTTACAAACTCCTAAATAAGGCTACTTCGTGTTTTACCTGCGATGGCGTCCGTTTGCTGGAACTTCATTGCCGCTGCTGGATGGAGGACTGCAGAGCACCCTGGTCAGTAGAGGCTGGGAAACGCCAAAACATGTACGCAGGATAATGGAGGAGACCGTTGCTTTCGGTTGCTTTTAAGACTACCAAAGTAGCGTTACTCTGTAGTAGTTAGCCCTGATAATGCTGGTACCATCAAAGTCTGCATTACATTCCTTGTTCCTTTTCCCTTTCTCCCTATTCCTATTCTTATGAAGTCATCAAGAATTGTTTTTATTGTCCGCTTTTATGTAATTGGATTATCATTAAAAATTTCTTGTGTGTTTTCTCTTTTTATCTCGTTAATCTGAAACTCCTATCTCATCTATTCCCTCAATCGCCGCCCCCCCGCCCCTGTATTTTATCTTCGCCAGATGCTCTCTTAGAAGTTTATGTCTTCTTTCCGGTAGTGATCTGATACAATCCGGTACAAGTAGGAAGGTGCATGGCCACCCCTGTCAGTCGTTTTTAACACATTAGTGAGCACGTTTTCTCGCATCAATTCCCCCGCCCCAAACAATAAAAGAAGAGAAACAATTCGCTTGTTGACGAAGGGCAGGAAGCTAAGGCAAACGGCCGAATCGGGGAGTATTATATTTTTTTATTAAAGAAAGGGAAAACTTACAAGTTCGTAATATATAGATCGACTAGGTCAGCAGGCACGTAATCGTACAGCGGATTCTCAACGTCAATCTTGCCCACGTCCCCATCTTCATACGGCAGCACAGCGCTCGAGTCCCCATACTCAATCAGCGCCTCGTAGTCGAACGGGTAGACGGGACTGAGTTTGTAGATGCCGCTGACAACGATGACGGGGATCTGGTGCACTTTGGCAGCGTTGGCTATTCCTCGCGTTCCAGCTGCTGCAACTAAACCGCCGTTCGCAAGCACCGAGTGTGTGCCAAGAATCACTTTGTTGACCCGTGACATCAGAGCGAAGACCGCTGAGTCCGGGATGAGAATGACCGTCACACCAAGGTCTGTGAGGGACTTTTGAAACGACTCGGTACTTAGACTTAAACTCTCATCGTCTCCACAAGCGCCGCCTCCGCTGACACCACTCGCGGCGGCACTGGTGGTGCCCGCGACAGTCCTATGCGTCGCTATGTGGTCGTTGGGATAGCCCTCTGCATGTATCACTGTAAATTTCCGCTTGGCCGCGGCCTTCGCCAAGAACTTATGCACTGTCACCGACGAAGTGTAGGTCATTATGACCTCATCGGAATGTATGTGCTCTAGCGCATAGCTAGCAATCTGGTCCTCCACCTGACCTAGTTCGTCAACTATCTCGCCGATACCATCAATTACCTCCGCCCTGAAATCCCTCGAGCTGTAACTTCCAGGCAAACGACCAGATGGCGATCCAGTAATGGGAGACCCAACTTGCAATGACTCCACCTGTGGATGCGACAGTAGCCTGAACATCGATACTACTGGAGGAGCTTGAATGTTCGGTGGCCGCGAGGATCGCTCCGTCGTTTCAGAGCGGATAGCGGCGAGGGATGTGCCCCGCTTCCCTGAGGGGAGGGCCTCGTCAATATCTGTGCCTTCACGTCTTAGCGGGCTCGAGACATGTGCTGCTGCTGCTGCTGCTGCTGCTGCTGTTGTTGTCGTTGTTACTGTTGAAATGTCCGGCGGCTGGGTGATGAGGTGGTTGCCCCCGGCGTCCGTAGCGGCTACATGAGGTGTATGTGGCCTTGTATCGTAGCTCGCGTCGCTTGATAAGCAGGATTCCCCATCCCGCTCGTCTTCCGCTTCTTCTCTGATGAGACCCAGAACGCGCCGCACGATGTTCCCAACAACCATTTCCCTAGGATGTGCTGCGATGAGCCTCTTCCCGACATATTGAATGCGGTCAATTAGCTTTGCTGGATCTGTTATGCATGATGTTGAGACGACCCGTAGGAGGAGGTAGGCTGTTGCGACGGCGCAGGAGTGCGAGGGTTGGATCTGCCGTCGCTTTAGGAGCCTAATCTAATTAGCCCGTAGTTCGTATATAGAAGCTCTTATATCAGCTAGGTGGTTAGAGAAAGGACATACGATATGAGGTTTTCCGTTGCGCTCTCCACATCACTCGTCTTCAAGGTGTGGAGGAATGATTGTAACCCCGGAGTCAGGGCTACTGCGGCAGGAGACATTTCCAATATGCTCCTGTAGTATATACTAAGCGTATCCTCAAATTCAAATTTTTCTTGCACTTGATTTCAGCTCCTAGTAGGATACAGCACCGTACGGAGGGCACAGTCAGTTTGGCTGGAGCTGTTGGAATGGGAGACGTTGTGATGATGGGGTCATGGACCAAAATTAAACACCAAGTTGGTAAATATGGCTAAGAATGCTTGCACATGAAACATGAATGTGTTCATGGTAGTGCGGGTAGAATTATGCTTTGCTTGTGAAAAGTTCTGGTGTAGAAGAGCTGTTGAAGCTTTTTTTTTTTTTTTTTTTTTTGATAAAGAGATGCAGGTTGGGAATGACGGAGGACATGCTGATTGTGGTATTAAAAACAGTATTTAAGGTGAAATTGCGGTGTAATTATGGTATCTTTTGGTATTTGCGTGTTTGAGGGGGATGATATTGCAACGTCAGGGAAAGAGCCTCACGGCAACGTCAACGTCAACTTCAACGTTCATCCTTCAACTTCACCACTTCAACTGCCACCTCCTTTCTCTCTTCTATGTACACTTCGCCTAGGAAACTGCGGAAAGGTGGAATCAACTTTGAAATTCTTCTGAGGAAGTTAAACATTCGGCAAAATACAATAAAGTGTGAGCTATTTATTCCATTACCTGCATCAACTTCCAGACTTGCGCCAGCCAGCGGTTTCGCTTCAAACGCCGAGTCATATGCTGTTATCCTTGGATGGGGAAGAAAATTTTACATCTATTTAAAATTTGAGCGGCTACAGTGTTACCGCAGAGAGAATATATCAAAACCAGTCTGAGTCGAGGAAAATCATGACAATGATAGAAATAGGAATGTCACCACTCCTCAATCCTGAGTCCAGTCCATTACTCCTAAACATGAAGAGGAAGATCAAACATCAACTTAAATGACAGTGCACATGTCAGACCATTCCTTAAGCATTTTCCATCCTGCATGAGGTTTTAGTGGAGTCGTAATCTTATTTAGCAGTTTATTTTGAACTTTATAGTCCGGTTGCTGTTGGGGTACTCTGAGATCATGACTCATGCATCCAACGACAGACTTGTTGCCCATAGCCTGGGGCATTCCTGATTTATACTCCATATATCTGTTCAGAAGGCGAAGCGTATGGCCGCATTGGGCACAACCCCCGCTGTTGAAGTCTCCAAAATTGCTGACTTCATATTGGTCTGCTTGTGGCAGATTTCTGAGGAAACCGTTCATTCCAGGAGCTGTTCCGTCACAGAATTCCACCACATGAATAATACCATGTCCACCCGAACATGTTTGGTTTCCAATTTCCGATTCGCAACAGCAGTTTTGACACGGCGTATCTAACCAACCCCTTAAAACTACTGGTGAGCAGAGCTCTGCCAATACTCTGACCTTCCGCATGTTGACTCGATTGAGATGGTTCCTGCATGATTTGCTTCGTGGAGAAATGGTGATTCCGGTGGGGTAGGTGTATTGAAAGTCGACATCGACGCTGCCCAGGTCGTAAAGAGACGATTTCTCCCTGAAGTAGGAAGGGCGGTCGTTCTCGAAAATTAACTCGTGTGTGAAGGCCGGTACTGTGCCAGCATGTGCCATCCGGATGGATCCATCCACTGCACGGACAAGAGAGGAGTGCCATGGTGTCATAATTATCCCGTCTTTAATTGGTGTTATCGCTATGGATATTTTCGCTGACTCCGTGGACGGATGGATTGACAATCGAATCGATTTGTCGAATCTCCTTGCGATAGCGATTGCAAATGCCCGTCCGCGGATGATCATTTTTCGTGCAGTTTCTTCGTGACGTTTTTTCATCTGTCGTTTTGAGATAGACGCGTCATGAATATTGCTGCTATCGTCGAGATCCTTCTCGAGAAATTTGATGTATCCGCGGTAGGTCATGGTCGTGTCAGGATCCGATGATATGTGTTTGGAGACATCGAAGTTATCGGGGATATTTCTTTCGAGGAGCTGGGTTCGAAACCAAGATGCATCTTTCAAATACTGTTCTTCGGATAACGGCTCTCCAATTTCGCATTCTCCAAGGAGGTGCACGAGGCGAATGAATCTGATATTGTTGCATCCTGTATCAACAGCAAGTTTTCTGAGGGATTGGCCGTAGGCCCACACTTGTTCGTCGGAAATCCCTAGCAGATCTAAAAACAGATATAAGTCAGCTGCGCTCGCGATTATTATCCCAGTAATAGAGTGAATTCTATTCAGGAGAATGCAACCGTTAAACCTACATACCGCTGTACATCAATCCATCAGAGACGATATCTATCTTAGCGCCTGGTTTATACTCCTCTTCGATCAGCTCGCAGAGTCCATTCAGATGCGCCAAGGCTACCTCCTCCCCCTTATCAGGAAGGTGGCCGAGCACCTTAAACTTTTTATTCGGTGACTTGAATGGGAACGCTGGGAGAACCATCGGAATAACCCTCCCGACCTCTACGTGCTCCTCAACAAGGCGTGAAATTTTTCCTTTAGCTTCCCATGGTTCATGGGCGTGCTCTTTCGGCGCCATTCGAT